TGAATCAGTAAATGTACTCTGTCATTGTACCCGACAGGATCTGAATCAACCACCTCAGCCACCAGTGGTCCAATGAAGACTGTCAACTACCAAACTCATGACCATCAACAAGCAGCTCAGGGTAAGTTTCATTTTCTTTACCCTCATGACCATGTTTATTTTGCAGGATTTGCTGTAAGATTCTAATTTAACTCAAACAAAAGATGATATACAAGGTTTTGAGTCAGTAAATGCGCACAAATTTTTCCACAAGGAACACGTGGTACATCTCACTATCCTGACCCTCGACCTTCATTACACACCAAATAAGACTCCTGCGCTTTAAGATTTCCTTACATCTCACGATGAAAGTCTCTTCTTGAGTTGATTTTAAATTGCTTTAGTGCCTTTTTATGTGACTCTTTACCAGGTGCACCTGTACCGTCAGAACCCAGAGGTAAGAAGGTGCCCTTCCACAGCCAAACCAATACATCTTTCAATTTTGGAAAATCAATAAGTAGACTAACTTAATTTCACATAACACTGAAATGGCATATACGGGTCATTCACACAGTGACAGCGGTACACCTCTACTTTGATAGAACGATATAAACCAGTTACATAATGGTACAAATTTGGTCAACAAACTTCAATGTTTTGTCTGTATTGTCTTTATTTTTCACCCTAAGAGGCTGATTTCTGTCCCTGTGACTGGAACTTATGGCCCTTCAAACATTGATCCACAGAAGTGGATGTAAAAACCAGCATGACCCCACCTTCTCCAGGAAGTTTTAACTCAACAAATCATGTTTTACTCATGGAGCCCAGATGCTACACATGATCAACACGATCAGTGTTCACCACTTTAAATGAATTTTTTAAACTTGGTGAACTGAGGAGGAATGACCCGTACAATGTTCTCATCGTAGTGTTTGTTCATCAATCAAACGTTCTTTATAATTCAGCTCCAGTGTCACGTAAATGAGATTAGTTATATTTATGTTCTGTTACTAATCAAAAAAGACTTAAAGCCTGTAATCATATAATGTTTTTTCCAACAGGCATATTTTTTGGCTGGATTTCACAGTTCACCAAGGGAGGTGAGTTTATGAAAGTACAGTTGAAACATGATGTTTACATCCACTGTATAAAAAGACATCAAACCTTTTTTTTTTCTCACTATCTGACATTAAATCAGACTAAACGTTTCCTGTTTCAGGTCAGTTAGGATTACCAACATTACTTCTATTTGCTAAACGGCAGAATAATGAGAGAGAGAGTTTTATAGTAATTTAATCGTCAGAAGTTTACATCCACTAAGATGCCTTCACACTACTTGGGAAAGCCCAGATGATGATGTCATGGCTTTGGAAGCTTCTGATTGGTTAACTGACGACATCTGAGTTAATTGGAGGCACACCTGTGGATGTATTTTAAGGCACACCTCAAACACACTGCTGCCTTTTGTGACAACGTGGAAAATCTAAAGAAATCAGCCGAGATATCAGGAGGAGAGTTGAGGATCTCCACCAGTCTGGTTCATCCTCGGGGGTGACATGGATGTAAAGTGCAACGCCCGACTTCTAATTTCATAAGATGTGGAGTCAATAACTGCATCATCCTGTATCAAACATGCACCAGTGGTCCAGTGGAGCTTGACAATGACCAAACTGATGACCATCAACAAGGAGCTTGTCGTGGCTATCTTCATTTCTTTAAGTCTTTCGAGTTCTGTTGTCTTGGCTCTTAATTCTCGGTAAAACTACCGTATTGCTCCGCCGCCCGCTCGTTTATTATGACAGAACACAACACTTCTGCAAACATTCTTCTTCGTGGCTGCGTTTACGAACCTATGGAAGCCTCGCAGGGTCATAATTAAGTTCAACAATGTAACACTTTCACATTATAATTACATATCAAATGTCTGCATTTCGGCAACAAAGAGGATTATTTTCTAAATTATAATAAGTTACGTATAAACTTAGATATTATAAGTAGTTGATTTTTATACAAGGTTTTGAGTCAGTAAGTTCACTCTGTCTTTGTACCCAACAGGACCTAAATCCACCACCTCAGCCACCCCTGGTCCAATGGGGCGTGACAAGAACCAAACTGATCCACAAGGATCACGTGGTAAATCTCACTTTCCAGACCCTCGACCTTCATTACACACCAAATAAGACTCCTGCACTTTAAGATTTCCTTACATCTCATTATGAAAGTCTCTTCTTGAGATGATCTTACATTGCTCTAATGCCTTTTTATGTGACTCTTCACCAGATACACCGTCAGAACCCAGAGGTCAGAAGGTTCACCCCCCGAACCAAACAGATAGACATTTAAATTTTGGAAGATCAAAAAGTAAGACTAACTTAATTTCCCATCACATTTAAATGACATATACGGGTCATTCACACAGTGACAGCGATACACCTCTGCTTTGATAGAACAATAGAAACCAGTTATTTAATGGTGCAAATCTGGTCAAAAATCTTCAGTGTTTTTATCTACTCTGATGTTCCACCAACCACAAAACTTCTGTTTTTCACCCTAAGAGGCTGATTTTTTTCCAGCTAACTTCTTGGTAATTTGTGGCAAAACTATTTTGTCTTCATAAATCATTTTAATCTGCTTCACTCAGCTCTCGTAAAAAGCTGTGACGGTTCCAAACTGTTTTTCTTTCTGTCGCCACAGTGAAATACCGGATGGTTGTCAGTGGTAAAACACTTGACTCACATCAACAGCTGATGGACCAATTAAAGATTACATTTCAGGGTAATGAGCTTCAGCTTGAGGAATGCAATCAGGACTTTCAGATCGTCTTCGTCTTCTGCCCGATTGCATCACGTGTCGCCACGGACGTCACGGCAGCCATGGATGATGTAAAAGGTACAAGAAGTGTTCTGTCATCCAGCTCACATTGAATGGAAATGACACAAAAGGTAGTTCAGTTGCAATGGAGCACCACTGTAGCAAGACTAAGGAAAGAAAGATCATGTATGTGGGCTCTTCAAAATAAAAGCCCCTAGTTAGCTGAAATAAAGATGTATCAAGGTACACAACAGTATCAAAATAAAAGTCCTGAAATGTTACAGAAGTCTTACCAGGGATAAGTATGTTCAAAATAAAATGCACCGACATAAATGATGCCTTCTGTCTAATCGTAGCAGGACGGAGGAAGCTGCATTGGCACCGTCAAAATTTCTTCTGAAGTTTCCTAGTCGAGTCATTTGTAGACATTTTTGAGTTCCTCCCTCCTTCTTCGTGGATGCACAGTTTCCACAGAGGTGCAGGACTTTGTGTTGCAGTGAAAATGAGCCACAGTCAGGAAATAATGCCCCAGAACTGCTTGGAGTTCAGAGGGTTCCATTAAAAGCCAAAATGAAAGCCTTAATGTGTATGAATGTGTTTGTTTACCGTTTAAAGAAATAGAATTTTTTTAAAGTAACTTTAAGCTCAAAATCCTGCCTGTCTCATGCTCCGTCGTCTCTCTTGGTCTCCACAGGTGCAGGTGATAAACCCATCATCCTGGTGCTGATGCACCACTCATACGAGCCCAGATACGTGACACATCTGAGAACATGGGATGAGTACACAAACGTTGTGTTGCACCTCAATGTTTTCTTCCATGAGAGTCGCGGATTTCTGACGTGTCAAGAAAATGCCACTGCTGTTTCTGAGATTCGAGCCAAGTTACTGCAGATTCATTCACATAATTCCACCAGTGCTGATGCTCAGGATAAAAGCAGCATGACTGGTAGTTATCCTGGTGGAGGCGACAACAGCGACTTTTGTTTTTGATGGTCGTAAAAATATGTGAAACGCTAAAGTTTGCCCAGTTGGTGGCCTGTTAGCTAGAAGTACTGATGTTGGTTGTGATAATGATAGAAGGATTTCAGTTCAGCACGCTATAAGTTAAATAATGTATCATGGACTACGTCAGCAGTGGAACATACAGCCACAAGGTGGAAATATTTAAATGTAATGATCACAGAAACCAAATGTTTTCCTTCTTGGCAAAATTAGACCCGACACTGGTGTAATAAAAAGGCTGAGCTCCGTGTGCAGCTCCAGGTATTTGTGCTAAAGCTGTTGTGTAACTTGTGTTTTAGGAATTACTGGTGCCAGAAACACAACACAGTTTCTATTAACGAGTAAAAACATAAATGAATTATACCATGTAATTATACAGTATACATTCTTGTTGTAATTGTGCAGTTTTGCTCTGTACTTTGATGTACAATCGTTAAGCATGATTTTGAATAAACAGTTAATCAGAATGTCATCATGGTGTCTGCAGTCCATTTTTAATAATCTTGGAATGTGTTTTTTTTTTATTGTATGCTGCACAGATGTGACTTGTATACAAACATATGTCCATTCATTCCTATGTTAAGGATAATTATTGAGTTAAACACAGCTCACCTCATCACACATGACTTTATTGTATCTTGTCATTTAAAATACAAAATGCAACAGAATAAAAGTTGAATTAATTAAATTAGATAAATCCAAAAGTTGCAAAAATTGAACAAGGAGTGCATTTTTTCTTACAGAATAATTAAAATTGAGTAAAACAGTAACATAGCCAAGAAATATGAAAATATGTAAAAAGTGTATAACAGTGAAAACTCCTGTAAGAACACAGGAAGAGATGAATTAACTATTTAGTGTTCACTATGTATGAATAAAGTCCAACGTAGTGGCCTATTTTTCTTCATTTTTATGTTTTAGAAATATGTATTACAACCTATTTGAATATTTAACGTTAAGAATCACTTTTATCCAAAATACGTGTTTAAAGGTCCACGGTGCTTTTATTGTGAAACATCAGTGGCGCTGACATTGTTTACATCCCGAAGCTGCTAGCTGTTAGCATCGTGGAGCGAAATTATCTCCAAATGACGGCTCTGTTTTTCCTCACAAAGATTACTACCAAAAAGCCTTCCTGGCCAACAGCATTTCTGACAAATTACCAAGACGATCAGTTCGCTAGTTAGCTGTACAGCTGCGTTGGGGTGGCTAGCGGCTAACAGCTGTGTAGCTCAATGCAGCATGTTTGATTCATTTCAACAGGTGTGAGCTGCAGGCACGTGAAGTGCAGTCTGTCTCTGTGCGTTTGTTATTTCTTGGCGAGAGAGTTTCGGCTCATATTTTGTTTGCAAGAGCTGCATTTTAGCTACAGCTAGCTTTCGCGTCCCCTTAGCTAGCCAGCTGTTAGCCTCGGTTAGCTGAAGTTTGTCAGGCTTGTGCTTCATGCTGCTGCTGAGCTTCAGCTTCATGTCAACAGGTGTGAGCCGCACAGAGGCCAGGTGACATCTGTGTCTACACATTTCTCATTCCTGGAGAATTCTTTTTTTTGCTTTTAAGCAAGCATTTTAGCTGCAGTTAGCCTTAGCGTCCCCTTAGCTAGCCAGCTGTTAGCCACGGTTAGCTGAAGTTTGTCACGTTTGTGCTTCATGCTGCTGTTGAGCTTCAGCTTCACGTCAACAGGTGTCAGCTGCAGGAAGGTAAAGTGCAGTCCGTCTCTATGCATCTGGAACGAGTTTTGGGCTAATAGTTTGTTTTTTAAGCGCAGTATTTTAGCTGCAGTTAGCGTCTGCTTAACTAGCCGGCTGTTAGCCTCAGTTAGCTAAAGGTGATCAGAAAGTTGTGCTCCTGCTGAGCCTCATAAAGTTTACAGACAGTTAATGTCAGTGAGGAAGCTGCACCTCACATCCACCTGTCAGCTTCAGACAGTCAGGTGATGCTCAGGAGTAAAGTATGAAATGTTAGTGGTTGTTGGATAGGTGTGATAGTTGTGTTTTATTTCAGGTTGTAGCACAGTCCTCCTTGTACCTGCCAACAGGTGTGTAGGCCAGCAGATGTGGTGCATCGTGGCTGAACAGGTGTGAGGTCAGGTTAAAGTGTCTCTGCACATTGTTGATTTCTACAGAGAGATGGGGGATTATATTTTTCTTTCTTTTCAGCGCTTATATTATCTCCAGTTTAGCTAAAGTTTGTAAAGTGTGTCATGATCCTCGGCCGCCTCCTGCTGAGCCTCAGGTCCAAGTGTTTGAAAAGTTCACAGAGAGTTCCTGTGGTGTCGGTCAGGAGGCTGCATCCTGCATCCACCTGTCAGCTGCAGAGAGTCCAGCCGTCTGCACACCTGTTCAGGCTTCAGGTGAGGAACTGAACAGAAATATCACTGTTCTACAGATAATATGAGCTTTACAGTTGCCCGTCCATGGAAACCGGTCCGAACAGGGAACAATGTTTTATTCAATATTCATACTCCAAACTTTTCTTAATTGGAAAACTTCTGGTTTCAGCTGCACATCCTAATCAGCACAAGTCAGCACAAATGACTCCACTGCATAACTGATCACTGACACATGATTAATCCATCAATAAATGATAACCTCATTGATCTCAGGCTGCAGCAGAACCCTCGGTGTGTCCGCTGACGCTGCCTGACATGCAGCCAGCCTGCGTTTCTTATGGAAGAGAGACGTCTGGGGTCGCCTCTGATGAAGGAGACGACGAAGGCGGCGGCGAAAGCCTGGCTGGACGAGAGGAAGAGGAGGAGGTGCTCGGCATGGAGGTCCAGAAGGCTCCGGAGGCCTCGTCTGTTTGTGGTGAGTAAAACTAACCGTCTGAGATAATGAGCGGGTTCGTCAGCATTGAACTCTGGGGTCCAGTGCCACTCTGCTCCGGCTAGATGTTTGCACACAGTTTCCAAATCGGCCCACAAACCAGCAGATTAAATGTCACCAGCAGCGTGGCAGACAGCAGATAATCACATGCTTCACGTGGCTCGATGTGGATAGAAAATAACAGTAAAATAAGTGTCTTTGCAATTACATAGAAGCCAGTGAAGAAGATGGATTCATATTTGTGTCAGATGGTGTTTGCAGGTAATTATCAGCGTGTTGTTGTTGTACTTCTCTGCTTGCTTTCGGCTCATCTCAGTACAGTTCATGCTCTGTGTGCATCCACGTGGAGGTGGTTCTTCTCAAGCTCACACTTTGATTTACAGCCTTTTGTTTTTATTGTCAAAAGTTATTTTGAAGGTGAGGTCTGTTGTCGGTATTTTGTATAACAAAATACTAAAGATGGATGTAGTCACGGCATTTTATGAGAGAGTTCACAAACCTGCCAACTGAATCATCACCAAACAAGTTCTTCACCAACATGTGTGTAAAGGTGCAATAACGTGTTTGAAAATGATGAAAATCAACTTCCTGAAAAAACCTGATGAAGTTAGGATACCGATAAATGATTGTCGAAAAATCCATCCATCATCTCTACACCTTAATCCTCACCAGGGTCATGGTGGCCGGAGCCTATCCCAGCTGACTCAGGGTGAAGGCAGGTTCACCTGGACAGGTAACCAGTCTATCACAGGGCTACACTTAGAGACAGACAACCTATGGATGATTTAGAATTGGCTGTGGCTCAGGTGTAGAGCGAGTCGGTCATTGATTGGAAGGTCGGCGGTTCGATTCCGCCCTGTAACCTGTGTCACGATTGTCAAATAAGATCAGTGATAATTAGAAAAATGCTGAATATTGGATGTAAATATCGAGTCGACCTCTTTTGTTTTCCTCTGAGCTTTTAGTCTGAGTCCAGTTTCTGCACGTTACACATTTACATACAATATATAACACAGGTTGTGTTTTATGTTTTATGCAGCAGGTCCTTCAGGTTCAGATGAGAAGACGACAAAGAGGAAGACGAGGAGAGAGAAGAGGAAGCTGATGAAGAAGAAGCTCAAGTCGGCCGATGCTTCTGAGAACTTAATGTCCGAGCTTCCGTTTGCTCTGACCAGCCCCACCACGTGGAAGGCTCTCGGCTGTACGAGCACGCTTAAGATTATGATTCTAAGTCTAAGTTCCGTTTATTTTTAAAAGGTTGAGAGCCTGATCATTAGGTTTTGATTTAAGTTTAATGTTTTCCCTTCACCTGCAGTCCCAAACCCAGAGTCGGCCCAGAAGAAGACGAAGCGAAAGCGAGTGGACAGCGGAGGGCCGGTGGACAGCGACGACGACGGCGACAAGAAGAAGAAAAAGAAAGAGAACCAGCGACCAAACTACTTCGTCTCCATCCCCATCACCAACAGCCAGGTGAGGAGCTGCTGCACACCTGACTGAGGGAATTCTTCTATCGGACGTTTTACCAAATTATTATTTCAGGTTTCATTGTTCGTCTTCGTTCTCTGCTTTTGCAAAATGATGAGAAATTGTAGTAAATTGGCCGAGCACATTTTTAATTTAGATTTTATCACACGGGACATTTTTGCTTCCTTTTTGCATTTTCATTTTCTTCATGTTTGTTTCTACTTACTCCATATTTTTTCTTATTTATCTGTTTATGGTGACGATAGCTTCACTCTGTCAGCTGTAACGAAAGACTCGACTCATGAGATGAAATCAAAATGAACTGTTACATGAAATATTTTGTGGAGAACACGGTAATAAGTTCCCTCCAGTGTGCCGATGAGTGTTTGACACCTGATCTGGGGCCAGAAACAACAAAACTCAACCACCTGTGAACACCGATTTACCACAAAGCTCCTCTGACAGAGCATCTATTTACCTCCTCGTCTTCATCCACTGAGGTGTCTGAAGTGCTCAGGCAGATCCTGGAAGCGCAGTTCTGATGCTGAAGGTGAGACGGCAGCTGTCGGACCTCCCGCTGACTTTGTGAATTTGTCCGATGACAGATAAGCTCGGCGGTGACGGAGGTCCAGGAGGCGGTGCTGCAGCAGGAGCCCCGGCTGGCCAAAGCCATGATCCCCGTCCCGACGCTCCACATCACGCTGCTGGTCACTCACCTGGCCGACCAGGAGCAGGTGGACCTGTGAGTCGATGGAGCGAACACACAGAAATGCAGACGCTAGATGAGCTTGTAGTAGTGTTGTTTCTCTTTATAGCATATATGTGTAGAGTTGTACCTGCAGCCTCTTTAGCCTGAATTAACCATAAATCAACATGTTCAGCTCGTACTTGCTGCACATTAAATCATTCGATCCTCGTTATTTTACATTGAAATGATCAGAACGGATTGGAAGCGGAGCAGCTGCACATATTCACGCGATGTCTGAAAAACAAAACTACATAAACATCTGCATACCTGTTGGTGCATCTCGTTGCCACGGGAACCCGACCTGCATCCAGCTCTGGTGACGCAGAAGTCGTCGGTTTGCTGATGGAACACAGATTAATCTGCTGGTGTTCATCACAGAGAATGTTCAACCAGGAGCATCCATTTCACCGTGATTTGGCCAAAAATTAAAGTGATGTCCTGTATTATGAGTCAGACCAGGTCGTGTTTAAATTAGCAGCGGGACTCGATAAAAAAAAAAAAATTAGCTAATTAATTGGACGCTTTGTAATTAATTAACCGCGTTTAGCAATATTTCACACATTAAGCAAAGTTTTCCAATTTAAATAAATGTCAGTTGACGACTGAATCAATGAACGGACATAAACTTAAACACAAAAATGTTTATTTTGTGCATTTTTCATCCGTCTGCCACATTCACAGATCAGTGCAAACTCAATCGTAGCGTTTATATTCAACATTTTAAAGCTTTTTGTCTTATCGTTGCACAGTTTGCACACGACCACGCTCTTGTCCGAGCTGCCTCATGCTACGTATCCACAGCATCCGTCTATTCTCTGTTCATTGTGCAGCGAAACGCCCCTCAAGCTCATTTGCATAAAATTGACTCGACTTCAACTTTGTGCAAATTTGGCAAATTTTGGCCCCTGTGGGCTCGTAGCATCAGGCCTCGATCGGAAAAACTCAGATGTATTCATCATTAAAGAAAAAAAAATCCACAACAGTCACTCAAATAACTAGAAACTGATAAAAGTAATAATAAATAAAAATTTGCTAAATTATAATTTAGTGAAATGAGGCGTTGCTTTTGAATTTTGGTGGAAAAGAATAATTTTTAAAAACTAAACTTTTTTTCTGTATTTCAGTTGAACCACAAATTCAAAAGCAACGTCATGATATTTATTACATTTTTTATTTATTATTGCTTTTTGTCGATTTCAACTTGTTTATTATTTATATTTTATTATTTATTTACAGCTGTTTATTTTCCTTCTTCACTGGGAGGGTACATGAGTACATGTGAGGACGATTGTACGCTGTGTAAAAGGACATAAAACCTGTTTTTTCTCACTAACTGACCTTAAATCAGACTTTTAGGTCAGTCAGGATCACCAACATTACTTCTATTTGTAAACACAGGGCTTCACAAACTAGACGTTTGTTGTACTTCATGATTTTTTTTTTATTCCAAAGCTTTGGATCTGCTGCTGTGAGATCTCCTTCACCCACCAGAGAGCATCAATAGGACCTCATGATGAGCAGGATTAGAAGTAAAGGAAGTGAAATTACCCTGAAAGCAGTCTCACAGGGATTAATAGTGATTATTTAGATCTTAGTGAGAAAAAACCCACATGATTTATAGCGTTTTAAGCAAATGTCTCCCCACAAACAGACGTATTAATATTTCAGATTGACGCTCTCAGGTTTCAGCAGGAAGCAGCAGATGTTCCGTGTTATGCTCTTAATCTACACCAAGAAGAAGATGGTGTCATTAGCGATGGCTAGATTCTGTCGTTATGTAATCTGACGAGGAGGATTAAGTGTGCTGTGTCCCCCCCCTCCAGGGCGGCCGCCGTGCTGGCTCGGGTCGAGCCGTCGCTGGCCGAGCTGCTGGGTGGGAGGGACCTGGTGCTGCCCTTCTCCGGGATCGGCCACTTCAGGAGGGAGGTGGTGTTCGTGGGGCTGACGGCCGGACGGCACCGACGCACTCTGGACAGCCTGGCAGGTCAGTGGCAGAGTCCTCGTTCCTCCTAACGCCGCTTAGGACGTAGATATCGATTGTTGTTATTGTCTTTACGGGAGCTTTATGAGCCGGAGTCCTGCTCAGACTGAAACACTCATCGTTTTAGTCTCTGAAATGCCAAGAAATGGTGATGAGGAGCCTGAAATGACAAACATCCTGCTCAAATATCAACCTAAAGATATTCGGTTTGCTGTCATGAACGAGCAAAAGCTGCATAAAGAAGAAGATTTTCATTGTTGATGAATTTATCTGCTAAGTTCTCGATCAGTTGTTTGGTGTCTGAAATGCAAGAAAATGGTGAAAGTCAGTGTTTCCCACAACGCAAAGATGTTCAGTTTTTCTGTTAAAGAAACCAGAAAATATTCACCGTTTTATTCTTAAAAATGTTTTAAAAAATTAGAATTATTCACTTATTACATTCTTAATTATCTTAATAATTGTTCTTATTATTATTATTATTATTATTATTATTATTATTATTATTATAATTACCTCTTTAGTTGTTTGGTTTAAAAAAAAAAAAAGTCAAAAAACGGTTAAAAAAAAAGTCCAGTTCCTAAAAAAAATCTGTTCAGTTTACTGTTATAGTGGGAAAAATATTAGGATTTAGAAACCGATTAATTGATTATGAAAACAGTTTGCAATTAATTTAACAGCTGAAGACCATCAGAACATGAAAGCAGCAGACGACCTTTATTTTGAAAAACTGCTGCGACGATACAGATGCAGAAAAGGCACAAATTGGTGCAAAAAAAATTTAAAAATCTCAAGAACGCAGGAAATTTAGTTGCTGAATATTTCCTCACGTTTAATTTGTCCTCCTCGATCAGAACGTGAAAGCAGCAGACGACCTTTATTTTGAAAAGCCGCTATAACGTTACATGCAGGTGAAGCGATACAGATGCACAAACTGGAGCATAAAAATTCACCTGAATGCAGCACGTTTAGCGTCTTCTTGCTTTCTTTCTGACTTTTCCCTCTTTGACGTGTCAGGACGTAGAATCATTTGCGTGCTTGTTTTCGTGTTGCTTATGAAGCCAACATTTCTAAGAGGATTCCCGCTCCATCACTCCTGCATCACACACACACACACACACACACACACACACACACACACGGTAAACGAGCTCTCATTTGCTTAATGCCGTCCATTTCCCCTCCGACATGCCGCCTGAACGGGAAACATGCAGCAGACGCGTGCAGGAAATGAGGGATTTTCACTTGTTAATGTGCAAAGTGTTTGCGTCTTGCTCTGGGAGATTTGTGTGTTCGTATTAAACCGTGTGGCAGCGGTGGAAGGTTTGGGATCATAGATTTGGTGTTTTTAGTGTTGGCCAAGCTGAGACAAATCCCAAAAGGAAGTTGTTTTTGTTGTATTTTCTCTCCTCAGGGCTTCATATAAACAGACAAAACACAACAAGCTAATCTTTTACAGAGACACAGCCGCCGGTGACAAGTTTCCACATAATTGCTTTTCGCTATCAGATGTTTTTTCTCTTGTTTCTGTCCGTCTGGTGGCAAAATCTTAGAGGATTATTAGCTGGAAATGCATGAAAGTCTCATCAGATCATTGACCAGACTACCAGCATGGTGCTGGGTTCTCACATTAAAAAAATAAACCTGCAGCAGTTAAAGCTAATTTGCATTTACAGTGTTTGACCTCTCTGTTGGCAGCCATGATATTAATAAAGTTGTGTATTTGTATTATTATAAATGAGCAGGATAAAGAAGATTTCCATCGATTAATTAGCTGATTTGATCAGTTTTCTGTCATGTAAAGAGTCAGAAGATGGTGAAAAATGTCCAAAAAGCTCAAAAATATTCAGTTTACTGTCACAGAGGAGGAAAAAAACTGAAAATATTCAGATTTAAAAGCTGGAATCTGAAAATTTAGACTTTTTTTCCCTTAAAAAAATGACTCAAACCAATTAACTTGTTTGTCTAAATAATTTCCAAAGAGCTTAATTGTTGACAAGTGATTGATTGATCTATAAAACATCTAAAGTTTGCACTAATTTGAGCGATATATTCAAATACAGTGAAAGAAATTGCTTTCATCTTTGTTTAAAAAAAACAAAAAAAAAATCATATTTTAGAAACTGCAATCAGACAATTTAGACTTTTTAGCTTAAAAAAAGACTTCAATCAATAATAAAAGTAGCTGACAACTAGTCAAGTAAATGATAAATCATTGTAGATTTCAGTCCAGCTTTGAGTCCTTGCTTTCATTTCTAACAAATATAAGGATAATTTATGTATTTCTTTAAACAAAATGTTCATTTTTTTCAGTATTTATTGGATGTTTTGTAAAGCTGCAACAATTCTTAAATTAATCTGCGTCTGTTTTGATGATATTTTAATGATTTCGACTCAGAAAAACTGTAAAATATGTGATCGCAGCTTCTTAAATGTGAATATTTCCTCCTCTAGAGCAGTGAACGGATCATTTCTGAGCTTTGTGGACTAAACAAGACATTTGAGGAAACACTGATCGACTTTGTGTACGGTTCAGTGGATCAAACAGCGAATCGGTTTATCAGAAGAAACACCCACAACTGTTGGTACATAGTTAAATTAGTTCAGCAACCAGTGGACTCGTCTTTACGTGGTGTCGTCTCTGCAAAAGTTGTATTTTAACAAGCGGCATTCATTAAAACAAAAACAGTTCTGCAACAAGCAAAGGAAGGAAAAAGCTGGACTCTGCTGTCGTCGTGTCTGAACTCTGCAGAGCTGCCATCGATTATCTACTAACCTTTCCCTCCCTGTGGAGCCGCTCGTCTAAAAATACCGAAGCCCGTCGACCGCCTCGGCGTAGACGTGTCCTTGCAGTGTTGATGCCCTTCTTCCTTTAGTCCGTCTCTTTGTGGTTAAACGATATGCGGCCGAAAAGCTTCTCCCTCGTTTCTTTATCGCGGGTTTGAAGTGTGTCCGGTTACGTTAGGTAAACCGACACCGGTCCTTTTGGGTCATTTCATGCCAACTCGTCTGATTTTTAAATATGTTTTCAGTGGATGTGAAGACTTTGCCTTTAAAGAGTTTCAAAGAAATCAAAATGGTCCTTACTGGAAAAAAAAAACTGTTAAAATGTCCTAAAAAATACATTTTCTAGCTCTGAAGCTAATTTTAGCTGCAGCTCCAAATAACATTTTGACTTGTTTCTACCCACTGAAGACAATGGAGATGTTAAGTTTTGAAAATTAAAGATTTTTTTGTTTTGATATTAAATTATACATTTTTATTATTTTAATTTCTGTAAAAAAAAAAAAAATTCCACAAAAGATATTGACATGATTGTAAGTTCCAGCTTTTCCTGGAGGTTTCTGGGATGTTCAGTAAAATAAATCAGTTGGTGAGATGCTTTAAAAGAATCGCTGAAGTTATAAGATTTAACATCAGGGGTTCAAAATTCATAACTCAAAGTATTTGGAGTAAAGCTGTAGGACTTTGCAAGGTTCCGAGGTTTAAGTAGAAGTTTTTGGATGATTTAAAAAAAATAAATGACGCGAACCGGGAAACACTTTGAAATCTGGTTTAATCGGCGTGGAATGAACCTTTTTTTTGTTTTTATCAATAAAAAAGTCTTTGTGTGTTTTGCTGCTGCAGAGCTGTTGCGGAGCCGCTTTGAGGATCAGGGTCTTCTGCAGGGAGACGGTCGCGGGTTCGAACCCCACCTCACCATTATGAAGCTGTCCAGAGCGTCCAAGCTGCGATCACAGGTACGCACACGTGTTCTGGGCGGAGTTAAGTAATTCAAATAGCATGTGCAGGGCTTTTGCTGCCTTATTAAGGGATGGCTACAGACAAAAGTGAGCGAAATCAGATCATGTACAATAAATAATAATGTTCAGAAATCTGTAGTTTTTCTGTTATTTTTGGTCAGTTTGAAAACAAAAGCATCTATTATGTGTTTGTAAATGAAACAAAATGGTTAAAATATGCATTTCGTTTTTATTCTTCTTGTTTCCTGCAAGAAAGTCTGATATATAAACTCACCACTGATGCAAGACGGGAATGCTGGTAGAAAACTGTTGATCGTGTGTTAATATATTTATTTTACATCGATGCAGCTGATTATTTCTCACAGCTGACCTGTTAAACGTCATATATTTAAACATGATGTTACCATGGAGATCTAGCTCTGCACCATCAGTTACCATGGTGATCTAGCTCCGCAGCATTGGTTACTATGGTGATCTAGCTCCGCAGCATCAGTTACCATGGTGATCCAGCTCCACAGCATCAGTTTAGGCTAACCCGCTAATCTCGATGTGGTTTTCTGCTGCTGTATCTGCTTCAAGGTTCGACATGTTGTGTGTTCAGTGATGGTTTTTTGCACATCTTGGTTGAACCGGTGCTTGTTTAAGTTACCGTTCTGTTCCTTATTTCTTATTTTCTCTTTTTCGAACCCTAAACGTGTTTGTACGTGAAAGTCTGGCACGTCCAGACTCACCTAAATCCCCTTTTCTTCCTCCTTCTGATGCTCTGTTAGAACTTCAGCGGGTCGTCTTGACCTCGTGTACATCCTTAAATGCAGTGAGTTGATGCCGTTTGATTGGCCGATTAGATGTCTGTGTTAACGAGCAGCTGAACAGATGAACCTCAGAGAGTGAAGCTAATAGAGTAAATAATTTTCTTAGTGGAAAAAGTAGAAGTTGAACATGCAGACGTGGTTTTATTCCAGCTCTATTTTTCCACACATTGCCTCAGTTAACTTGTTTTTTTGTTTGTTTTTGCTCTATAAAAGCTGACTTTCCACATCCTTGTTATTACCTTCAGCGTCCTCCCAGTGGCTGTAAAACGTGTCATTTAATACTTACATGTATTGCTTCCAGCCAAAGCTACTGGTGGGGATAACTCAGTCACTGTGGCGTTTGGATGTGTATTATTTTACAGCATCGGGCTCAGAGCCAGACAGTAATAATGATGGATGAAAGGGAGGAATTACTCAGAAGTAGAGTTTGGTACGAGAGGATATGTGTATGAACTGGATAAAGATAAAAATAGGAGTTAAAAGATAAGCCGGGATCGGGGAGACGGAGGAAGGACAGCATCCATCTTTGTCTTCCTCTGACACCTGAAGGCGGCTCATCCTTCCTGGCGCCGGCCGGCCGGCCGGAGATCTCGTCTTCCTCCAGTGTTTGAATTTATTTCTGTTTGCTGAGAGGGAAAGTGAGCGTCTTAAAAACTTTTCCTTTTGTCTCCGTCAGGGTATAAAGCGTGTGGATCCGGCGCTGTACTCCAACTACACTAACAAGTAGGTACTTTGTTTGTCCTGTGATTAAAAAATACTGCAGCAAATAACTTAACTGACACCAGTTTAAGGTTTTACCATCTGGGAGGTGAATCGGGACATGAATTTACCCAGTTTATGCTTATTATTATTGATTTTAACATTGCATTCAAGGTGAGTTCTGCACAAATCCAACTCTGATCTTTTAATTCGCTTCCTCAAGATTTAAAAATGTCCAACTTACTGGTGTCTAAAAGTTGTTTGCTTCTTATTTCATGATAATTTCACTCCTGTTTCCTCATTTTTAACCCTCCTTTCTTTGCTCCTGCTACAGTTTTCCTCATTTTTTACTTCAACATAAAGTCCTGCAGCTCGATGGAAACTCAAACCACAGCTAGAAGGAGGGAGAACACAGTTAGAATAACCAATAAAACAAAAGTTAGGCTTAGTATTTGTTTCACAAAAATTGGAAAAACTTGGAATAAACCTGGCCAAAAATCACCCTACATGCTGTAGATATTTAAATATTTCCATGTTTAATTTGTTTCTGTATTTGTACCGTCTCTGCCGTGTACACAGTCTGCAGTTCAATCGAGAAAGTCTCTGAAGTTTTGTGGCGTGACTCCAGAAAGATGTTCCACCATCAGCTGATGCGATGGGGTCATTTTGGGATTTCTTTGTGTTTTTTATAAAGATTCACGCTCTTTCAGACTTCTGGGGTTCAACAAGGTTAAGAAAAAAGCAATATGTTGATAAATCCAGAGAAAGAATCCAAGTTTACAGAATTACACGTGGAAATGAAAACCAAACATAACCTGCAGTTCAACTGAAAACTCTCAGAATTTTTGTGACATGACTGTCGGTCTCAGCTGAGTCACTGATGGCTTCACGGTTGCTCCTGGAAGTGCAGAATTTTTTTGTTTTTTACTAAAATTGATCAAAGAAAAGTATTTATTTTTAGTACATTTTTGAAATGCTACTTGCAGAATAAAGTGAGTTGGATGAAATATCACGAAAGCACGCTGATTTAACCTCGTGTAGCTCATGATTGATTTCTTTCAGGAACCATGCAACAAATCTTTCTCTTTTTACAATTTCCCAAGCGCATAATTTGCTTGATTGTGTCACTTTCTACTCGTCTCCCTTGACTTTAACTCTCTCCGTCTCACCCCAGATTCTTCGGCGACCAGACGGTGGAGCGAGTGGATCTGTGTTCTATGTTGAAGAAGAAGCAACAAGATGGATATTACCACACGGAGACTTCGCTTCAACTCGGTCAGTACAGACACACAAACTGGATTTTTTTTGTGTGTCGGTGTGCGCAGGTGCAACACTGAGCCACCAGAGGGCGCCGTCACCTCACTTACAACATGATGAGTGTCCATGTTTGTGGGCAGAATGTGCTCCTGGTTGTGTGTTTTTGGTAATAACTCCCTGATTTTGTTTAATTTTTGATCTGCGTGGAGCTCGTTGGGCGTCTGTTTGTGTCTGGATTCACTTTTGGAAGGTTTGGAAGCGTTTGTTTGACCGGAGGGAGGTTTTCAGCAGGTTTATGTAACACCATCAAACTTCAACAGAAGCTAAAATAGAGGAAAGAACTGGTCTGATCAGACACCACGAGGATCCTCAAGAGCTCGTTTCCATTTGCCAGTCGCACACTGCCTCCCTGCCAGTTCCTTGGAAACTTGGCGGCGGTGTGGAGTAGTAGCTCTGATGCTCGCTGAATGAAAGGAGCAGTGGAGGGTTGGGGCTTTAAAAACAGTTCTGGTAAATGGAATATATTTGGATTTCTTCAGTTGAAGAATGGCTCAGGTTTTTTGGATCTTGTTTGCATTTTAAAGCAGTTTCACAAATGAACACTTTACACGCCAACACGCCTGAAAACACACATCACATGACCGTCCACGCGCACTGTGGCGTGACGAATCGTGAAAAGACGAGGAGCAGGGCTGCATAATTAGCCGAGTATTCATTTAGAAGATGATTTTGGCTTCTCACAATCAAACGAATTGTGCTGTGGATGTTCAGAACTGTAGAGGGCTTCCTGAGCTGGCGGCGGGGCCTCCAGGGAGCCACTGAGATGTTTTGGCTTCGCTTTTCGGGAAGCTGCCGTGCACGAACCCCCGCAGCGACGGCCCCGGATGGACGATGCAGCTGCAGCCCAGAGGTCGAAAGACAACGTCAAATCGATCTGGAAATCATCCGCTGATGTGGAAATATTTTAGATTTACGGCAGGTCGTGCTGAGCAAGAACGGATGTTGTGCAAACGGGGCGTCAGGGTTGTGTCTGTGCTGCTAAACAACGCGTAGAATTTGTTCCAGCAGGTGAAAAAAAAACACCACAAACTAAAACTCAAGAAGAAGAAGAAGATTACGCTGTACAGTGAAAAAGCCACACGTGTTTGTGTGTTGAAGGCCTGAATGTGTTGCTCTGCTGCTTTTAAATGAATCCGGCTCATCACATTGAGGGCAAAACCACGTCTACAAGCTGCGTTTTTAAGCTGTAAAGTCATAGAAAACCCAGTTGCGTTGCAGTTTTTGCACCATCCAGACAGCCGGTGTATCTGTGCTCCTTATGTGAAGCAGACACCGGCAGAGAATTCGGTTGAAGAGGACAAGCTTTTGCAGGAAAGTATCAGATCTGTGTGGATAAAACAAGCGGCGGTGATTCGTTTCTGCAACAAGTGTGTGATAAAAGCTCCTGCTTCCTTTATCCGGGCCGCACCAACGGCCAAATAAATCACAGTTTCCTTTTAAATTATGACGCGCCAAACTTTAAAACCCACCTAAAATAAAATAAAGATTAATTTCAAATTGTTTTATTTTTGCTCTAAACCTGTCGAACCCCCTGAATAACGCAATCAGCAAATCACAAAGGCTGCACTTGAGGGCGTAAATTATTCAGCACCTCTAATCCGGGATTTATTAATATTTTATCACTTTTTTAAACTCTAATTGCAGAACGTGCAGCAGTTGGAACGCCCTGTTTCAGTGTCAGAGACTGATGATGGTATTTTATCATTATTATTACTTCATTTAACTTTTGTGATCATTGTTCTGACTCTATGCAATTAAAAAAAAAAAGTGCAAATACGTGATTAAAGCAGGTTAAATTTAAAAGCTCTCATGTTTGCAAAGGTAATATTTAACTCTTATCTCGTGGTTTTGCTCCGTCACATTTAATATAAACTTTATCTGCCAGAAAAATCACAATTTTATATCTTCAACAAGCCGTTTGGCTCGAATTTAAACTGTGATCCGACTTTAAACTTTCAAAATAAATCCTTTTTTGTGATGGATTTAGCAAAAATAATCAAGTTTTTTGAAGAAAGTTAAGGGAGAAACTCAATCTAGTGGAGTTCTCTAACTCTAATTTCAGAGTGTGCACCAGTAAGAAGCCTCTGAGCCATGAAAGAATTGAATTATTGTATTTTTTCATTATTATTACTCGTATTTATTCATCTTGACAGCGTTTGTGATCGTCTGTTGGGCCTCCACAGTACATCCAGTTCTCTGTATTAATGGTTCCCCCTCCGTCCCTCCCGAGTGTGCGCATTTATAATTTATTCATTTATTTTAATTTGGGTAAACAAGCTTCTCCGTATTGATTAACACCCTCTTTAATTTCTGTTTGCGTCAATAAACTTGGAGAGATTAGTTTTTAATCGTGCAACGGAGCGCTGCCTCATTTTAAATCTTTATTTGTTCAGTTTTATTCTTTGTTGGTGCAACTCGGCCTTAAATCGCGGGGGGATTAGCACAAGCGAACGTGCACGCATGCGGTGTAATGGATTGGCAGAGGCTCCCCAAATCCCACAGTCAAGTAGCTGCTGCAGCGAGAGCGCTGTCAGCATGAGTGGAAGTGGGCTGTCACAATGTTTTGTGGATCACTGGGTTGTCTGAGGAAGACAAAGGGCGACTCTGTGAGCGTGGGAGTGACAGACACAGCAGAGAGATGTTTACCTCACACTTGACATCATCAGAAAGCTTCTGTTTGTGTCAAGGATTCCTATTCCATTTAAAATGCACGGAAATGATTTAAAAAAAAAAAAAACGCATCCGGCGCTTTGATGCGGTGGTGCAGCGTGCAGCTGGGAGCGCTGCAGTGTGGACGGGTTAATCCTCGCTCTGACTGTGTGGAAGGTTGCAGGAATTAAGTGTCTCCCTCTGCCTCCAGCTTATAAGTTGCATAAGCTTTTTAAACTGACACTATGTAAATTTTTTAAAAAAAGGAGGAGGAATAACACCGTCCTCCTCTGACAAATCAAAAAAAAAGAAGCAAGACACACCCTCACTCGACTGCATTCACTTCTGGTTTGGATTGCAGCCTTAGATTCTACGCTACTTGAGCTATGCTGTTTTTTAAATGTCCTATATTTTTAGTAGAGGTGGAAAACTTGGTGTCGAGTCACAAGTATTTATACAACATATTTAAGTCTTCAGCCATTGCACCAAACTGGTAGAAAAACAAGACAAATGAACCCAACAGGTTCAAATACTGAGGTCAGGACCCAACAGTGTTATTTATCAGGTGGATTAGTCTGAATAATTTAAACATTAAGGAATAAATCACGACACAAAAGTACATAAAATACAATTTTACCCATAAATATTAAGGCTAAGAGCCGACGGTGTTATTAAATATGGGACTCATTCATCTACTTTAAATAATAGAGTTCACCAGAAGGCATGTGGGAGACTCTGAAGGCAACTGGGAGAAGCTTCTTTGGTTGGATGAGATCAAATTTATGGCAATCAGCGTAGTGGTGGCAGCATCATGATGAAGCACGGTGGTGGCAGCATCATGATGAAGCACGGTGGTGGCAGCATCATGACGTGGGGATCTTCTCAGCAGCAGCCTGGAAGGCTTGTGAAGGTAGAGGGTGAATGAATGCAGCAAAGTGTAGAGAAATCCTGGAGGACAACCTGATGCAGTCTGCAGGAGAACTGAGACTGAATAGAAAATTTGTTCTGAAAGTTACACAGAAATGGTTTAAAGTCAGAGTCCAGACCTCAGTCCCACTGAGAATTTGTGGCTGGACTTGAAAAGCGCTGTTGACTGGTGATGCATGTGTAACCTGACAGAGTTTGAGTTTGAATGAAGTAAAACTGCAGCTTCTAGATGTTCAGGCTGATGGAGACCAACACAGAATGGACGCTGTAACAAAGGTGCATCTACTAAAGACAGACTGGAAGGAGATGGACACTTATGCAGTTACTCATTTTACATTTTATATTTTTAATTAACTGACATTACTTTGTAAAAATCACTTTGAGATGAAAGAATCTTCTTTGGAAATTCTAGTCAGAAAGGCCAAATTTAATGGACGATGGTTTAATGTTTAAAAGCCACAAAGGGGACGACTTCCGAGGCGGGTGAATACTTTTAATTGGCACTTTAACTTTGTTTAGTAACCATTATTTTTAATGACTGAATATATCAGCGAACTAGCACGGACGTCTTCCAGAGTGTTTCGTGGGTTTTATGTTTGAAAGAACAAATCATATGCGTCTCTAAATTAATCTCCAGTTTCTAAACATTAAATATATTTTCTACAGCGCCCCTCAAATGCTGCTGGGACAGCTTTGGCAAACCTCGGAGGAAAGACAAGCTCAGCATGATCGACTGCCTACTTCAGGAAAGTCTCTTTTATGAGCCAGAAATGAAGTGGGGGAAAATCGGCCTGAAAAACCTCCAGGTTGAAAAATGGCCGCCGTCCAGGAACGAGCTTTAGACCTTCGTAGTCTGAAGCAAAAAAAAAAGAACGCACGATGAGCAGCGCGAGGGATCGGCGTCTCCACAGGAGGACGGTTATTATTCAGCCCAAACGCCGCCGTCGTACCACTCAGTCGGGATTTAAATCACCGGGAACATGAATGATTTAAAGTAGCTGGAAGTTTTATTGCATCCTGTTAATTTTCAGTGCGTTCCGATGCGTCAGTCGTTGTTTACGTCATGAAATATGACGTTTGAACAGTTTCTTCTGCTTTGTTCTGCTGCTTCATCTGATATCATCACCATGAATGACAACCAGAGAAAGTCGCATCTCCTGATTCCTGGCAGGTTTATCTTCCTCCGCATGACACCGAGGTCCAATGTGCTTTTTCCTGGTGCCGCGCACTGGTCACCGTCTGATTGTGTGTTAATCCCATAATCCACAGTACAACATAATCCACAACAGAGCCGTGAAACGCAATCCGACGACGGGGGGGTTTGTGTGTCATGATGGGGAGGAGGCGAGAATGTATAGAGGAGAAGAAAAAGGGTTGAGGAG